TACACAGACCATAATAAACAAATATTTGCTTTTAATCATAGTTATTGTACCATTTTCTTTAATTCTCTGACCGTACTATGACTACATGTAATTGTGCTTTACAAGCTATTGCAAGACAACTATTTCGCATATTAATATTTACAAGGGTAAAGAAATGTCAAAAAATAACAATTTTAACAGAAAATCAAGGACATGAGATGAGATACCTTACAGTCAGATTGTAGGCACAGAAAATCTCGAAGTTGCCCTTGAAGTCTAAACAATAGCCTGCAGTGCAGACGTTAGTTTGGAGCGGAACGCTATCTAGTTAAAGCGGGTTTTCGATGACGCTATCTTGGATTGTAATTGGATGCTTGACCTGTAGAAGATTGGTGCAGAGGCAGAGTGGGGGATGGGGGTGGGGCACTTAAAACATTTTCCTTCCTCTCCCCCTCCCCCCTTGCCCATTTTTCCACTTAACACCTACTCCCTCGACAAATATTTCATTGCACCAATCCTCCACAGTTACCAAATCCAAGATAGCCGCCTAATACGAAAATACGAAAATGTGCACTCACGTGCCCAAAATACGCCTGCACTGCATGCTATCTAAACAATTTAACTATTGCTCACAGAACACGTGGACTTGTTTTAGTGACACTCTCAAGGATTATAGTCCACACCTACAAGTTTATGTATTTTACACCAAAAAATAATCAAGAATAATGTTTCTTTTGAAGAGCAACATGCACATGCACGATTATTTTCTATAGACAACAATTATGGGAGAACCAATCACAATCGTGGATTTCCAATATAACATGCTGGATGTCTACTAATATCGATTACAAGCCCTGCCCCACTCCAGCTACATGTATTAACCAACCAAAACCTGACTAATGTGTATCAACCCAAGGTTTATAAATCTTCACAATCTTTCGATTGTAAATACTCGCACCTGCCAGAGTCTTACTTCTGTCAATAAAAACTTCATATATATATGGGATTCTATGGCTCAGGTTATTCTACCATTACTTAGTCTACTTTTTATAGTTTTACAGTCTGAATTTAGCGACTCTCGATATTCAGTTTATTCCTTGTGACTTCTGTCCAGAACTACGGAGGCTAGTCTGACGAGTCACCTCCAGCTGCACTCGCTTCTTGCTGACTAACCAGCTCCGTGTCACACAGTTCACATTTTGTCTTACCAGGCTCATTAACCAAGGTACACATTGGACATACATTGCGCCCCTCTTGAGCTTCCACTTCCCGCAGTGTATCACATCCCAGGCATACCAACACCTGAGGACCATTTATCATGGTGCACTGCTGACACTCCCAGGGGGGCCCTTCCTCTTTCTTGGGCTTCCTTGTCCCCACCTTGGGTTGGGGTCTCCGATTTCTTGACAAGTTTGACACAAAGCGATGTCCATTTGGATTCTTGCGGCACGACCGAGACATGGATGCACAANGTGGAAGTAGGTCAGTATTGAGCATGTGACTGTTAAGTATCTTTATGTTGATTACAAAAAAAATCTCAAACAAAAAAACAAAACTTTTTGCCATGTGATATTTAAACAAGCACGCGTCTGTTTCACAAATCCTCGTAGTTGCTTCCAAAGATCACTTCAGCTTTCATTCAGGAATGTGTCATTCATTTACTGGCAGGTAAATGTATTACTAAAATTAAAATTAAAAATAAAAAATGTGCTATTTGACTGACCAGTGGGGCTGAGAAGCCGTAATCTGTCTATCTCTTTTTGCAGCTCATCCAGTAGACTTGTTCTTCTTTCTTCATTGTTTCCAGAATCTGTTTGCATGGTAGGCAATGTCTCCCCTCCTACCGCTCCCTCAAGTTCACCTTCACTCTTGTCATCGTCATCATTGTCATTAGCATTGACGTCATTTTCTTCATCTTCTGAATGAGCAGAGGGACCATCTAAAGAATTGGAAAACGATGTTCACATGAAGATCAGATTTTTTATTAAGTTAGGTATATACGGTACAACAGTCTACGATAACCTTAATTACCAAAAACTGCAATTTTCATTGCCAAGTGAAAATAGTATTGCCTCAGAAAGCTGTATTGGTTGCAAGATAAAGTGAAAATGGTAAGTGGTAATTGACTTTCATCATTAAGAAATAAAAGACAGGCATGTGAGTTCACTTATTAATAACATAATTACAGCACAAACAAACTAGCAAATTTGGGATAACTCAAAGTACATTCTACATTCTTCCAGACTTTTTCTTGAAAGTGTGTCCAACAAGATAAGTGAACACAAAGGAATCAATCATTTTCTATCTCGAAATGCCACATTAAATCAAATCTCTATAGATAGGCATAGGTTATACTGATTGTAGCATTACCCTGCGTTACTTAGTTCGGTTATGTCATGAGTCATGCGCGGTATGCTTAGTGCCCACCTCATACTTTCAGTTGTCAACGGTGCTCCATTACACTACCATAGCACCCAAAGTTCTTTAGAGTCTTATTGTATATTTCTGGTTTCCCATGCATGTTGTTTGCATGTTATTGTGCCTTCAATTAATTAAGCTATAGTTAAGTTTTAGTTGGTTATTACATCCTTATTTCAGTTTTTATGTGTTGCCCCATGTTAAAGATCACCACATTTAATTTGACGTCTTGGTGTGATGTTTTGATGTATGGATCGCCTCAGCTGATTAACCTGTCACCGTCATACAGATGTTGGGAGATTTTTTCAGTACTGAGTACCACCTTTCTCTAAATACCAATTCTAGTTCTAATCAGGAGTTTCATTAACGTTTTCAGCAGGAGTGCACAGCTGTAACTGGTTATCACAGGCGGGCAAAACGTTTTGAACTGAACTTCGTTATAACAAAATTTTTCCACTAGATGGTCAAACCAGGCAGGCAAAATCACCCTCACGGCCAGTCAATTTGCCAGGTGCCTATCCCTTAATGAAACCCCTGTCTAATGCTCACCCATGTCCTCAAGAGCTGACTCAGAGCTGCTATGATCAGAACTATCAGCTTCATGTACATGTAACTCAAGGGCCGGTCTGTTGTCCCATGATTGCACTGTCAAGCCAGTATGAACAATTTCCTCTAGTCCTTGTAACAAACTTGCAAACAGAGGGTGATCCCTATCTGCACGAAGATCTTCAGTCTGTGACTCTGCATCATGACATATCTTCTTCTTTGACAACTCATGTTTGTTCAGCCCAGCAAAAGGGTTCTCTGGAAACATCATAACGTAAATATGTTTAACAACAATATTAAATAACATGGAATGCAAGTAGTTGATGCTTTTGGAACTGACTATTTCAACCAAAAACCAAATTTCACAGAATTGATTGACGCATCCCTGTACAGGTGTATCTTGTCATACGCAGTTTCAGTGAGAGAGTGTCTTTTGTACCATCAAGTAAGCGTAAATACCATAAGACACATCAATGTAAAACCCAGACAAGCAACAACAACTATTTTGAACGTGCGTGTACATTTTCGTTTCAGACTGCCATCTTGGATTTGGTAACAATGGAGGATTGGGGTGAGGAAAAAATTTGCCGGAGTAAGTGTGAAGTAGAAAACATGGGCAAGGGGGAAGGAAAGGAAAATATTTCAAGCTCCCCAACCCCCAACCCCCTCCCCCATCCCACCTCTTTGCCAACCCTCTACCGGACAAGCATCCAATTACAATCCAAGATGGTGGTATCGAAAACCTGGTTTATCAAGCGTTCTGTGCCAAAATAATGTTTATAGCAACTGCTTGCTGTTAATATTACATTATTAAGTACCATAAAATGCGAACCTTCTTTAAATGAACCAACCTTTTTCACCAGGCTTTAGATACCTCACTTCACCAATTTGAGTCTCCAGAGTGCAGGCAATATCATACTCAAAGTAATATGTGAGATTGTCTACTTCTTGAGGCTCTAGTTCACACTTCTCCACAAGAGTCGACACCTCATCAACAAGTTTGTAAATGTTCTGCTTCTCGTCAATCAAAGCGCTGTCGTTATCCTGGTACTTCTGGATCATGGAATACGCCAAGTCACACTTGTTTATAATTTCTGACATGAGACTAGACAGTGAGAAAAAAAGAACAAGTTGCTTATTTTCTCAAAACTGTAAAATTTATAGAATTTTGCAGAACATCTTAATTTACACAATAAATTTACCATCATGATGACTTGGTTCAACATCCTCCTTACAATAACCACTCCATTTCTAATGTTCACCACCTTTGAATAAGACTTTGTTAACTTGCACCCAGCTCTACTAATAAGCTCCTCTACATCAATGAGAGCTCCTATTTCATATTAAGCACCCTGTTCCGATTAATGCTTGGTTTGTATGTAAGTCATTATGGCATCAGAGATCTTCCACGGTTTGTCTAGTCTCTGACTCTCTGAGATCTCACTTTATTCTAACCTTTACCATTTAAAAGAACAGATCTTGTAAGGGCACTTTCCATTCAACCAAAAATTCCAAAAATTTCAAAATGGGGACAAATGGTATGGAAATTTTCTGGGAAAGGTTCAAGAAAACCAGGAATTTAAGGCTGGCATGCTGAACCCCTCAGACTCGTTATACATGTATAAACTCACTCACTATGTGTTTAAGCACCAGCACCAATGAAAATTCTGACTCTCCTGAATATTAGGATTATAACTTTTACCAGGCTACAGTACTATTAATAACCAGCATTTAACTCAAGTCTCTGTGTTATAAAAATCCTTGGTCCTGAATAAGTTGCTAGTCTACTGGATGTCACACCTAGTTAATGCAAGTTCTTGTCTGCTCATTTCCAAATATTGTTTAATACCAGTTATACCTTCTCTCGATGTTATTTTTATTATATCTAAAAACAACAACCAACAATGCCTTAAAAAGTCGAGAAAGCCCTGGGCTTGTAACAGGGATTTTAAAGTTTAACAAATTTGTAACCTGTCAGGGTGTATTGGATTTTTTGGGCCTCGGTACCTTATTTCTACAGTACAAGACGAAAATGCATGGTAAGCGAGCTAACCATAACTACTTGAGCCAAACCACATGAATGGTATAAATACATAATAGTAACCCTTCTCATAAATGGCTGCCAATTTAAAATTCTTTTGTATGCATTTAAATTAAGTAAACCTCTCTAACCTTGTTTGAGAGTAAAAATTCTTTTGAATTATCAACTTAAAAACGAAGTTAGTAAGGCTAATTTTAATACTTACCAAAGAATTTATAATTAGCAACCATTTATGAAAAGGGTCTATAGTATGCTATTTAACTTAATGCCACTTTGTTTGTACCTCTCCTGCTCATCCAAAGGTTTTGTCTTCCTAGTTGTTCTTTCATCGACATCGCACTTAAGCATTGTTTCTCGTCTGCTTATGCAAGCTCGTAACACTCCCATGTGCTTGAAGATCCTGTTTCGCACATAGTCTTGAGTGTTTAGTATGGATTCCTTTGTATCAATCACTTTTCTTCTAGCTTTCTTGATCGTATCATAATGATCTCCCAATTTCTTGGACAAGCTGCGGAGTTCTTCACGGGTTGACGTGGCAATGTTTGTGGCAAGCTCACATTTATGACCTACATGCTTGCCATATACCTGATAGATACAAAGTACATGTAAAACACACAGCTGCAGAATGAGGAAAGCCTGGAAGCAGAGAGGTGACAACCCAATTCTTCACTAGGAGAATGGCACAATGATGATGACAAATAAAACAAACTTCCGAAAATATGAAGATTAATTTAACATAATTATATCAATCTTAGTCTAAGACCGCCTTCCAATAAGCATCTCTTTCTAATGAGCACTCCATTTTTTGGTAGGCACCCCTATTTCAATAAGTATTCCCATCACAAAAGAAACATTTTCAAGATATTCACATAGAATAGACAGATTAGATGAATGAATTAAGTAGTCTTCTTTCTCATCGTAATGTAATATTGAAGATGCTGACCTGGAGCAATAAAGCAAATGGTGTAAGGACTTTGCAAAGAGCTATGTTGTAAGTTACAGTTCTTGAGTTAAAAAATATATTCTTTGTCATTTAAGTGATGTCTCACATTCAGATGTGTATGTTCAAACATAAATAACTGCCCTGTACCAAGTGCACTGTCTCCAATTAGCCCCCTCCCTTAAGCTACCAGTAAATAAAATTAACATCGTAGTCAAACCATGAACTTTTTGTACGAAAAAAGTTCATCACCTTGTAAGAACACTCCAAGCAGACTGAATCCACTGGCCATCACTTAACATTAAAAATAATGTATTTTCATGATTGAACAGTAGGGACACTTCTGTAGCCCTATGCTCCACTCACACGAGCAGAGACGGTGAGTGAGTCCACTTCTTTAAAACTTGGCCTTGTACACCTGGCATTAATGAAAACCCTGTATCCCTGGGGGAACTCCCATATAAAAATGACGGGGGTNGGGGGGCCCCCCCCCCCCCCCCCCCCCCCCCCCCCCGGGTGTGCATTTACACAGACCAGGTGTTTATCCAGGTCCTTGTGAATTTTTCCTCATTTTTGACGACTTAACTTTCTGCCTTAACTGTAATACTTTAAGGTCACAAGACACGGACGAAAACAATATTGACTTTGTGACCCATCAATTAGATTTAAAACAAGTAACGAAGTTACAAGTAATTTGGACCTCAGTAAGTAAGGAGTAATTTTTTTAACCTTGAATATGACAACAGTGTCGATAAACTAATAATTATTCTACACATACCTGGCAATAGATGCAGATCAAACAGTTATCTGTGTAACAATACACTTTCAGAGCTTCATCATGTTCAGGACAAAGGTATTTGTTCTTTTCTTTCTCTTTCTGAATTCCATCTGTTTGAGCTTCTTCTTTCCCCTCAAGAATTTCGAGGACTCCAAAGTTTTTGGGAAGATTTCTGACAGACTCAAATGTTTTTGGAAATAGTGTTGTGTCTATTTTGCAAGTAGGGCAGCAAATCACTCCAGGGTTTCGGGCTTGAAAAGCTAACTTGTTCAAACATCCTTTAAAGACAAGTCACGAAAAACAGTCAGTCTTACTGTACCAATCTGAGAAACATGACTTCAGCACTGTCTAATTTCTGCAGACTTAGCAAATATTCTTTGGTATCCAGTCAAGCCTTTTTGGCTGGGCATCATATATTTCTGCAGAAAATTCATTTATTGAAAGTAATCGCAAAGGCATTGCAAAATGCAACCTGGCAGATGCTCTATTCGAGTTTGGTTTCACTGTTTGTGATTCCAGCAATTTAGAATCAATGGATTTATAATGTAACAACTGAAATGCCCGGTTCTTGCATCTCGTCAATCTGATCATCTATAGAAGTTCATGATACTCCTAAAGGTGATGCAATGACTATTACAACATTATCTTTTATCTGTTGCTGACAAATATAACTGTTTGATAAATTAAGTTCTTTCTGAAACCAGTGGGAAGAATAGCAATACCATCCTTTGCTTCAAAGATGGCCTGCCTCTGTTTTCCCATTAGCACCAAATACTGGGAAACGTTTTAACACAGTCATCAAGCAAATTTTCCATCACAGCCAGAGATCACAGCAAGCAGCTTCAAGTGAAAACTGCATGATGTGCATGTAATGGGGCACTGACAAAGTGAAGACATGCTGATGGCCTTTTAGCCAATAGAAATTTTCTGTTTCTTTGGAAACAGGGAAATCAATTTCTCAAAAGTTAAGAAGTCCACAGAGTGAGACCCGCTATTTTTGTCCTTTACCAGACCCACCCCCTGGTGTTTTGACTTGCTCATATCTCCCGTGGTTACTGCGTGCAATTTCGGCGAACTCAAGACAAACTAGAGGGTCTGTGGATGGGACAAACAATTCCTGGAAAAAGAGAAATTGCCTATCGGTCATTAACACAAACACAATACTAAATCTATTTCATTTTACTTCCCGGCCCTAAGTTTCATTTTAAGAGCCTGAAATAGAGACACAGAGCTTTGAGGACGAGGCCAATGCCATAGAAAACGCGCACATTAATTTTAGTTATAACGGTATCAAATTATTCAAGGCAAGCAACATCGGTGACCGACAGTCTGAGCTGCAGAAAGTAATTTCCCTATCTCGTCATGAGTTAAAACTAACGAATCTGTTCTCAAAATTACTGTGATAACCTAACAGGCACCTTAAAGTAGATATATAACACTACCCAAATTGTATACCTGTACAATATGTATGTCCACAGATCAAATTCCTCGGTACATACTGAATCTCGTCGGATTTGAAGTTGTTGTAGCAGACGGAGCAACTTAGCCCTCGCGGTAGTTCTGCCATCGAAAACTCGATAATAGCGCCAATAATATGGAACAAACCAAAGTCAATGACTCCTAATTATTCATGGCTGAGGTTTTCGGCCACATTCAAATCTAGAAACATCGAAACAAAGGCAGACAAGGGCAAAGAAACCGTGACATTTCTCAGAACTCGACACTCGAAGTATTTTCTGCGCCTGCACGCCGTCAGTCAGAGGCAACACAAACAAAACCAAGATGGCGGACTAGCAAAACATGGAATTGGACGAGGAAAATATCGAAGATCAAAAGCCTCGTGCTCCTTGTAGTGGGCTAAGAAAGGAGCTAAAGGAATGTATTTTAGAAAGTGACTGTGTTAAAAAGGTAAAATTTAAGTGAATACACGCTATTTAGCATGTATTTAGTGTTGAGGGGCAAATGCACACCAAGCTGTAAAATGTACAAATTATTCTGCACTTGAACTGTAATAGTTTTCAAATCTGAAATGTAGATTTGCAGATCATTGTGTTTGCAGTTCTCTTAGTTCTTCTTTAAATTTTTTTGTAAGATTTGGAAAAAAATGACCTGCTTAAAAAGGTAAACGGATCATTTTGTGTGCTTATTTGCATGTTTTTGTACTCTCAAACAAGACGCTGTTAACTCATTTCGACGAGATGTACCAATCAAGTATAATCAATAATCAGTAACAATCAATAGTAATGAAATTAACTGATTAACTGATTTATTTTGGAAATCAATAGAATCAAAGTCGTGATGTTGACTGGTTTTAGATTTTCATTGATTTCTATTGTTTTTCATTGATTTGTAATTATTGATTCCTATATTTGAAAATTTTTTGTTTTGTTTTTAACGCATCACACGATTTACAAAATATTCACAATAAAGTTTATATTTGGTGATCAGTGAGAAAAAGTGGAAAGGACTGATCCATTTCATTTCCCACGGAAGTGTGAAAATGCAAATGGTACAGTGACTTTCCAAATATCCGCTAAAAATGAGTGCAGTGAAATATCTCTGAAGGTATTCCAAATTTCCAAACAATTCCCATTGCAAGGGCCCATTCCATTTGGTTTTCCATCAGAAAAAGTGATTTTTCTATACAAATGGAAAGCATCTCTGATGATTGCTACCTACT